ATAAACATATAGTTAGGCCTGTACCTCTTCTTGTGATTCTGCATATGTGAAATAAAAGTGTATATATGGATGTATACATTCTTATTTACATTCACACCATCATATATGAAGATATCCAGATACAGGAAAAAAAAAGAGAGAAAACTGTGTTCCAGGTAGAGATTTCATAGCAGGAGGCAATGGGTTAAATACAGTTATGTGCCACATAATGACTTTTGCTCAAGGATGGACCATATATATGACAGTGGTCCTATAAGATTATAATGGAGCTGGCTGGGCCTGGTGCCTCATGCCTATAATCCCAGTACTTTGGGAGGCCAAGAAGGGCGGATCACCTGAGGTCAGGAGTTCAAGACCAGCCTGGCCAACATCGCGAAACCTCATCTCTACTAAAAATAGAAAAAGTAGCCAGACACGGTGGCACATGCCTGTAGGCCCAGCTACTAGGGAGGCTGAGGCTGGAGAATCATTTGAACCCAGGAGGCAGAGGTTGTAGTGAGTCAAGATCATGCCACTGCATTCCAGCCTGGGTGACAGAGTGAGACCCTGTCTCAAAAAAAAAAAAAAAAAAAAAAAAAAAGAAAGATTATAATGGATGTAAAAAGTTTCTATGGCCTAGTGACACTGTAGCCATCATAATATCATAGCATAATGCCTTACTGAAGCATTTGTGATGATGCTGAGGTAAACAAACCTACTGTGCTGCCTGTCGTATAGTAGTCTAGCACACACAATTATGTACAGTACATAATCCTTGATAATTATGATAAATGACCATGTTAATAGATTATACCATTGACTACACCATACTTCAAATTGTGATTCTATAGTGTACTCTTTCTACAAATTAAAAAAAAAAGTTAACTATAAAACAGTCTCATATAGGTCCTTCAGGAGGAATTCCAGAAGGCGTTGTTGGCCTATGAGATGACAGCTCGATGCATGTTATGGCCCCTGCAGACCTTCCAGTGAGACATGATGTGGAGGCACAGGATAGTGATATTGATGATCCTGACCCTGCATAGGCCTAGGCTAACCTGTGCCTTTGTGTATTCATTTATGGCAAAAATGTTTAAAATGAAAAAAAAATTAAAAACAGAAAAAAAGCTTATCCTTATTGAATAAGGATATAAAGAAAATATTTTTGTATAGCTGTACCATGTGTGTTTTAAACTAGGTGTTAATGACAGAACAGTCAAAAAGTCTAAAAAAGTTAAAAGTTTATAAAGTTAAAAAGTTATAGTAAGCTACAGTTGATTTACTATTGAAGAAAGAAAATACTTCTTATAAATTGCATGTACCCTAAGTGTACAGTGTTTCTAATGTTTACAGTAGTGTACAGCAGTGTCCTAGCCTTCACCTTCTCTCCCCACTCACTCACTGACACTCATAGCAACTTCCAGTCCTGCAAACTCCACTCACAGTGAGTGCCCTATACAGGTGTGCCTTTTTGAAAATCCTTTATACCGCATTTTTACTGTACTGTTTCAATGTTTAGATACACAAAATACTTGCCATTCTGTTAAATTGCCCACAGCATTGAGGGCAGAGGCATGTTGTGCAAGTTTGCAGGGCAGGAGGAATAGGCTATACCACACAGCCTGGGTGTGTAGTAGGCTGTATTATTAGGTAAGTACACCCTATGATGTCCATATAAGGAAGGAATTGTCTAACAATGCATTTCTCAGAATGTATCCCCATCGTTAAGTAACATGTGATGGTACTAAAAACTGATGTGAAAAAAGATCAGAAAATAAGACCAAAAAATTACGTGACTCACCCATGGGCATCAACCAGTGGACAATAGCACCTAGAACTGTTGTGTATCTGAATACAAATCTGCCACTTCCGTAACCACACCACACTGTGCCTATGATTGAGCTTTTCTTGGCAAACAGGAACTTCTGTGGAAGTCTTTTCCTGCTGATTTAATGATACGACTTTTTGATTCGTCCCATGATCATGGACTGAAATCTGTATTTGGACCCCTACTCCTCCTTTGTGATGTGTCAATTTGTTTTAGACACTTAGTTTCATAAAGCTTTTCTGAATATATTATTCCAATTGTGCAAAAATCTGTGACTGGTGTCATCGTGCTCCTTTGGCACAATTTCAAATCTATGCAGTAGATCTGGTTTAAATTATTGGAGCTTTCTGAGCTTATGGATTTTTTTCAAAAGGCATGTGTTTTTTTTAAATAAATGAATGGACGTTGACTACTTAGCATAGTCCCAATAATTGGTTGACTCAGTTCAAAGCTATGAGCTGCATTTTCTATAATCTGAACTACCCCTAACCTCTTTTGAAAACATGGCTTTTACTATCCACCTTTCTAGGCAACTTTCCTACTTACCAGCCTCCTTGTTCACATTTTGCTGCTGTTGGAAACAGGGGATATATCTATGAACCCACTGGGGAAAAAGACAAGCAGACTATCTTTGTATTAATGTGCATGCTGCAATGAATACACAATCAGAGGACAAGAATTGTTACATGATTCCCTTCTCATGCAACAGAAAACTGATTTACTTAATTGCCTGTGCTTAAGGGTAATGTCATCTTGTATGGCTTACTGTTTTATACTGATGGGAGAATATTAAGTTACTAATGGCACAAGTCAATAAAAAATTCATAGGCCATGAACTAGCATGTTAGAGAAAGAACAGAATTGGCAAGTGATAGCATCAATTTACGAAATTTCATGTTTCAGACACCTGACTTGTACAGAGATGACTTTACGCCTTCTGTAGAACCTATCAGTGCAATGTAAATCAAGATAGTTAAATTACATTATAAACTCGAATGTTTTTAACTCCAAGCTTTTCTGAAAGATGGCTGCAATCTGGCTCAGTCTTAGTGTGTCTTTGTAACTGATGCATATTACAATCAAACTACTTTGGATTTTTCAGTCTTTCATTATACATTTATTCAGCAATAGCTAACACAGAGGAACTGTATTGGATAAACCATTATCAACAGCTCACAATCCAGCTGAGAAATCAATCACAAACATAATTAACTTCATTATAATGGCAAAGGTGACTAATGTTTCAAATGGAATTCTTCAATAATTAAAAGAAGCAGAAGAGCTGGATTAGAGAAGCCTTTCCAAGAATGGGTAAGGAGTCTTTATGAAAGTAACATTTTAGGCTTCTTCTTGAGGCCAAGGGAAGAAGAAATTGTTAAATTGTAAGACAGCCTGAGTATGGAGTAGAGAACTAGCTCGGAATATGGCGTATGCCTTTTGCTATATGACAGAAAAAAGCAGCAACAATTTAAAAATAAATAGACATTTACAACAATCGTAAAAGTAAAGCTAAAAGATTTTAGCAATTGGTGAAGTTCTCAAAAGTTGTGAATCGGTCAGAACAATTAGAAAAGTAGTAATTCCAAAACGGAATAAATGGATGCTAGAAAATAGAAAGGGTACTAAAATTATACTTAATTATGGCTAGGTATCTAAACGTCTCAATTTCCCTTTCCTTTTAAAAACTTTCTTTTTTTCTGCACTGGCTTCCTAAGGTTGCCGTAACGAAGTACCAAAAACTTGGTGGCTTAAAACAACAGTAATTTATCCTCTCACAGTTCTGATGGCTCCAAGTCTGAAATCAAGGTGTTGGCAGAGCCAGGTTCCCTGCGAAATCTCTAAGAGGAAACTCTTCCTTGCCTCTTCCAGCTTCTCGTGGCCCCAGGCATTCCTTGGCTTGTGGCAGCACACCTCACCTCTGTTCTGGGCCTTCGTCCTAATTGGTTCATCTCTCCTCTGTGTCTGTGCTTCACATGGCATTCTCTTTGTGTGTCTATATCCAAATGACCTTCTTATTATAAGGACACCAGTTATACTGAATAAGTGCTCGTTTTAATCCAGGATGACCTCATCTTAATTTAACTAATGGCTTCTACAATAAGGCAATTTCCAAATAAGTTCACATTATGAATTATTGGACATTAAGAATATATTTTCGGGAGGACACAATTCAACTCAAAACACCATTCTTTTAAGTTGCATATAATTTTAATATATTAACATGCCGATGTATACAAATACATACATTTAATAAGAAGTCTTTGTCAAAGGAACACAGTTGAGTTGACCATCATGTGGCTTTCTGCTTTACTGAGGCCTGTATGTGAAGTCCATAATGACAAAACCAGACTTGACTGTCCACCGTGGACCTCTTTACCAAAAGAATGAAGGTGTCCTTGAGTCAGTGCAAACAGTCCCACAAGGGAAGCTAGCTTTGTCATTCCAGATTCATAAACATGCTGTGAGGCTTACCGTTAGTCTGGGTGGCTCACCAGCATTAAGCCACTTCTTGACCATTCTCCTCAAAGGGACAATTTTTTCTTAAAATCTGTAATTCTTTCTAATGTGGAATCATCACAAAAGAGGAGCCAGAATGGAAACATTAGAAAACATTTGTGTTGTGGAAACATACCAATCTGGGCTTGAAGTTCCATCACTAACTAGCTGAGTGACTCTGGCCAAGTTAATAAACTTCCAGTCCTCAGTTTGTGCACCTGTACAATGAAGCATCTTACTGCTAATATCTGGTGGAATTGTGAGGATTAACGGTGATGATGCACCCTGGCCTGACACACTAATTGGGATCAAGCACCTGGAGGAGACACTTAGTAAGTGCAGCTTTCTCCCAATTCATCACATATGTGTCATGCTGAAAAAAAACACCTGTAAAAGAAAATCTTCCTTTCCATAGGATACTAACAACAACAACAACAAAAAAGTAATGAAAAGTAACATTTACTATAAATACAACATACATTAATTTTAATTGTAATTATACATTGAAGTAAATGTGTTCAATTTCTGGTAATTACAAAAATAAAATTAGATCAAAATAGAATTGAGAACCACTCAACCAAAACCACTTATTTAAAAAACATTTCTAGAGCATCATCTATATGTCAGATATTTTTTAGAGGCAATGTGTCAGAGACACGTGCAATATGAAAAGTATGAGGAAAGTGCCACAACTTACCCCACCAACTTTCTCAAAGTGAGATCCATCTTTCTTAAAATCTGCAAGGGCCCCATTGAAATACCAGGTAAAGATGATGTCTAACAGTGGGTCATGTTGTACCTGGCAGGGCAAGATGATGCTTTCACCAACAGAAACATCCATGTTAGATGGTGCCAAAGTTATTCTCGTTGGTTCTATTGGGGAAATAATTTTTCAGAAAAACAGCATTTTATTGTGATAAAAGACATTTGCACAGGCAGACTGTTCATCTGACTTATACTTTGTATGTCTGTAGATGCATATACATAAATATACATACATCTATATAATTAAAAATATTCAACATTAAAATAGCCATTTTGATGCAGAGCTACATTTCACTGGATCCACAAATTCTTGTTAAAGAAATTAGGATATTTGAACTTGTAGGACATGTAAGTTTAAAAATTAAAGTCATGTGTAAACAATAGTTATATTATTATTAACAAAATCAATTTCAACTTAGTTTTATTGTGTTTTGAAATGTAGGGGTAGAAATAAAAAATACTGTGTTTTCACCAACTTTGACTAGAAATTACATTACCATCGAAATCTGAACAGACATTTAATGGTAGCCTGGATTTGAAAGATATAATACAAAAGATGTTAGAATTGGTACAAACAGGAGGGGTACTATGTTAAAATGTTAATTAATGTCAGTTTTTCCCCAACGCAAATGTCCACATGCACATTTCTTTCTCTCTGTCGTCACCACCTACCTTCCATTTGTCTATCATGAATTAAAATTCTCTTGACCCCATTTTCCCACTGCTACCCACATTACTTTGCACTATGTTGGACGAAAAGTTTTCAAAAGAGTCATTTATGCATACTGTTTACAATTATGCTAGTCAATTCCCTCTTTAACTCAGTCTAGCCAGGCTTTGCTCTTCCCAACTCCCCTGTCCTCACCAAGGTCCTCATAACCATCCTGCTGATGTATCAGAAGGTATTTCACATCATGAACCTCTCTGCTCAAAACCTTGCAGCCGCTCCACTTTTCAATCCAACTGAAATAAATTCCTCAGAAGGTCTACAAACTGCTTGCATAATTATCACTTAGAAATCTGTTACTTGACACCTTCAACTCCATGAAATCTTTGTCCAAATATCTCCTTCTCAGTGAGGTTTATTCTGATCAACCTGTTGCTAATGCTCTAACTTACCTCTGCCACCATGTGCCTCTTTCTTGTTTACAATTTTTGCCTTCTAATACTTTTCTTCTTTTTTATTCCTACTGTTATTTTCTTTCTCCTTTTATAGAAGGTCAGATTCATGAGGACAGTATTAGTGATAATGTGCTCAAGGATATAGCCCAAGCAACTGGCAGAGTAGGTGCTCCAATTTTTTCATGAATGGATAAACGAACAAAATATATCTACAATTTTAAGCAATTCTTATTTATATGCTGTTATTTCCTGGACTTGAACATCTCCAGAAAGAAATCAACTATAATGAAAAAGACAAAGTGTATCCAAAAGACCTGAAGACCTATTTTAAATAATAGAATTTTATTTAAAAATAAAATAGAATGAGATCATCGACATATGCTATTTGTAACTCTTATTGCCTATCATCCCAGCACAGTAAGTAATGTGTTCCCTGGTGCACATTGTGCTGTGCTAAGGAAATATTGTTCCCTTGACTTTCACCTGTTAAAAATAACATAAGTGCAAATACAGGTTCTACCTTCATAGTGTACTGAACATTGTGAAAAACATAGTTAATTTCATCATAGTAATATATCTTACAGTGAATCCATATGTAAAACAATATTTAAGAAATGGACCTACCTGTAACAACCAAATGTGTTGTGCCATTTGCTTTCCCAAACTGGTTTTCTGCCATGCAGGTATAAGTTCCAGCATCAGCTTTAGTCACATTGGCTATTTTGAGTCCTCCATCTTTTAATAGAGAAATTCTAAAGAAAAGACAAATAAGATAAATAAATGTATAATAGCCATTTTTTTCCCAAATGAATATATATATATGTTTACAGAACGTGTTGCCTTAAGCTAGTATTTTCAAGGCATGATCGACCAGTCCTTAGCTTTTTGGGAATACAAAAAACTAAAAGACAATTGACCCCTCACTCACATACATAAACACACACACAGCATTGGATGACAAAAGATGCTCCACCAATTTGAACTTTGTTCAATAGTTTTACTCAGCATTACTTATTACACTTAAATTGAGAGGATGCACTTATCAAATAAGTATGAAATGTTCTCCAAAAATATTAATATGTGTTGTGGTAGATTATTCATGGAGTTAGCCTAATCAATTTAAAGGAAATACAAAGTAGGCATTACAAAGTAGGCATAACACTATTTCCCTTAAATTTAAAACAGTATATGAGAAACAAGAAGCTGCACATCTTTTACTATGAACTGAGAGGGTCACATCACCCCAATAAAAACCCAAATTTTCCAAAAGAATATTTGGGGGTCCCCTGTGAGCTAGAGAAAAGAGCCTGGGCAAATCCAATAAACCTTACCTTAGAGTTTCTGAGTATACACTCAGAGTACTTAAAGCTTTGGCATTTGACTAATTAATTAAGGAAATATAACTGAGTGCTTTACATATGCTTGGCACTATAAGACAACCTGGGATTATGGGGTGAGCAAGACAAAAAGTCTTCACCTTCATGGAGATAATATTCCAGTGAGTAGCAGAGACAACTGTATTAGTCTGTTTTCATGCTGCTGCTAAGGATATACCCGAGACTGGGTAATTTATAACAAAAAGGAGACCTAATAGACTCACAGTTCCATGTGGCTGGGGAGGCCTCACAATCATGGTAAAAAGTGAAAGCCATGTCTTACATGGTGGCAGGCAAAGAGGAAATGAGAACCAAGGGAAAGGGGTTCTCCTTATAAAACCATCAATTCTCATGAGACTTACTCACTACCACAAGAATAGATTGAGAGAAACCACCCTCATGATTAAATTATCTCCCACCAGGTCCCTCCCACAATATGTGGGAATTATGGAAGCTACAATTTAAGATGAGATTTGGGTGGGGACACAGCTGAACCATATCAACAACAAATAATTAAATAAGTAAAAATAAGAAGTTCTGATTTTTGAGAAGTACTCTGAAGGAGACAGAGAGGGTGATACAATAGAGAGGAATTACTTTAGGAGGAAGGGTTTCTAGGATAGTGTGCATTAGAAAAGCCTCTTAGAAGTGGTGTCATTTGAATTAAGAAAAAAAAATGAGATGGGATTAACCTGTCATTAGTCTGATCACTGTATCTTTATTGTCCTAATTTGTCTCCTCATAATTATATTCCCTTTCTTTGAATTCCTAAAATAATTACTATCCACATAATGCATTTAACACTTGAGTGTCTTTATCTTTTATGGCTCCTATTTTTGATACATGAGTGAAAATGGATGGCAAACTTCTTAAAAATATTTGCAACCCCAGTATCAGCATGGCATCATATATGCAAACTGTGGTAACTAAATGCCTCCAAATTCTGGGCCATTCAGTTGAGTAAATAGGAAAAATACTGAGGACATTAGACTAGAATGAAGGATCTCAATCTGTAAAAATGTTTATTGCAAAATTTTAGGTGTGTCTCAAAAATGTTACAACAAGAGTTTCGGCATAAAAAATGTACAAGATATAGATTTTCTGTTTTATTCATATATGCATGTGTGTATATCTACATGTGTATATGTATATAGATCCATAATATTTTTCTCCTCCAGTAGACTACAGGAGACTGCCACCTAACACTTTATGTATATATTCCTCCACAGTCTATTATTCACTTTCACTTTCATCCTGGTTACACTTTCTTCAGTGAGAAAATCACGGTGGAATTAGAGCTAGCACACAGGTTCATGATCCTGGGTAGAGCTATCTATTATGGTTTGTTGTGCATATGATTTTTTAAAAAACTGTGTTAAGGTATATTTAAAATAAAAAGGTTTGGAGGCAATGACCTAGAAAGCTCGCCAGGGACCCATGGCACTGCATGTCAACTTGAGGAACTACAGAGAAAGGTAAAAAATTCCAAGAACTTTCCTAGGAACTAAAAACAAAACAAAAAGGGACATATCCGATTCTCCTCATGGGACCCTGAGGGTTGTAATGCATTTTGTTGGGTGTGAAATGCCTCCCATAACTTTACTGGAAGAGATAATCAAATAACTTTAAAAAATCTCTTTATATCTTAGCCTATCTGAAATGAAGATTTTCCCAATGAGTATGAAATAATAACTTAAAGAAGAAACCCTGCAGAGAAGTAAAAATAAATTAAAATTTAGGATATGGAGACTGGAAGCTTTAAGGAACCTGTAGAAAAAACTTAAAGACATGTCAATCTGATCACGTGATCCTGCCCTCCTCCCTCCACCTGTCCAGGCAAACCTTGCTTAGAACCCACTCTTTGGTGTCACATTGCCTGGGAGATACAGACTATATCCTAAGCCTGAACTATATCCTCACATCAGGACCTCTGCTTCTCTCTAACTTCATGTGGCTTCATGAATTCTTTCCCTTGCTTGCTTTTCTCTGATCACACAAGCCTTCTTTTAATGGCTTTTATGCTTCTTTTTGTCTCAAGGTCTTCACAAAAACTATTTCCTCCCTCTGGTTGACCTGTGTTCATCCTTCAGACATCACTTACTTCCCTGAAATCATGAGTTGGATTCAGTTTTCCTGTCTTTGATCAAAACATTATCTGTGCTTTCTTCATAACACCCATCAAGTGTCCAACTATATATTTGTGTGCTTATTTGACTAATATTTTTCTCCTCCAGTAGACTGTGTGCTCTCCGGAGGCAAGGACAATATCTAGCTCACTCATCACTAAATTTGTAGACCCCTGAAAAGTGCCTAGCACAGAGTAGACCTTCAAAAATAAAACTTGTTGAATGAATAAATGACGGTATGCTGTTAGAGAGTCACTGTAGAGGAGTTCGGGTTAGTGAAGCTGGGTTGTAAGGCACTGACACCTTATAAATAATAAGGAAATAGATTTAGAAAGTGTGCAGACTAATACAAACACACACACACATATGTGTGAACTAATTGGATATACACACACACACACATATATATATACACACATACATATATATATATAGCTAGCCCTCCATATCTGTGGGTTCTGCATCTGCAGATTCGGTAGATTCAATCAACCAGAGACAGAATATATTTGAAAATAAACAGATAACAATACAGCAATAATAAAGTACAAATGACAGAAAAATACGGTATAACAACTGTTTATACAGCCCTTACATAGTAGTAGGTAGTAAGACTATTTAAAGTATATGGGAGGATATGCATAGGTTGTATGCAAAGGTCAAGCTATTTCGTGTAAGGGGCTTGAGCATCCATGGGGCTCTAGTGGATACCAAGGAATTACTATGTACACATATGTAGACATATTGTTTACATATATGTAGCAAAAAAGATAAGGCAATAGAAGACTGAATAAAGAGAATTTAGAAATGCCTTTCCCAGGATAAGAGAATTGAGAATATGCTTGCACTTGTTAGAGAATAAGTCAATAGACAGCGAGAGACTGAAGATAATGGGATGGAAAAAAAGAGTGAGAGAGGAAACTGTCAGAGAAGTCTTGGAGGAAAGAGAGAACATGATCAAGACCCATGTTCCCAACCCATCTGATTGCTAATCCCATCAGTAAAATTTTGGGGCCATGACACCCAAAGAGAATGATACTTGATTTGTAGTGTTGCTCAATAAATTTTACCTATCATTGTTATCAAAAAGAAAATGCAGATGTGATGGAGAATTTTCATATGCAAAGACCAGAAGCTGGCAGATTACATCAAAATGTTGGGAAGATATTTAAATAATAAGGCAAATTAATCTGCCCTAAATTATAGGTTAGAGACAGAATGGGAAACTTCAAGAAGTTGGGGATCTACCACTTCTATGATTAGTAAGCCTTAAAACAAAGTAAAAATGCTTCTTGTTAACTGAACATTATTGGACTTAAATTGATAGTTTCTGATTTGGAAACTACAAAACAGAGGTAGGTAATTTCAGGTATCTTCCACTATGCAATGAATTAGTTTAACAGCTAACTTTCCACTACAAATACAGAAGTGCTAGGAACAGAGGAAGAACTAGAAATCCTTGTGTATTAGGTTTAGTAACTTTCATCAAGCAAACTTCAAGTCAAGCAAATCATGCCCATGTTGAAATGATAATGTTTCAAAGGCAAAACCAACACCTTTAGAATCACAGACAGACTTCAAAGCAAACATATGGACTCTCAAAGAATGCAAACTCTGTGTATATCGTAAAAATTTGAACTAATTGGATATTTTCTTCCGAAATTGGTTCTTCCAGTAAGTTCTAAGAGGCCCACAGGGCATTCACACAGCATAAAAATAAACAATATTCAGTAAATGAATGGAGTAATTGTTTCTCAACAGAAAACCTTCAATAACCCATGCTTCCCTACAGAGATTCAAAGTGAAAATTTTATACCACTTCACTATAAACAAAATTGCCTTCTAAGTTTTCTGAGAACAGGTTTATCTGCAAATGGGTGGAGCTGAAAATGTAGATAACGAAGAGTGACTCTTGTCTTGGCACAAAATGTTAAATAACAATTTATGAAATTAACATTCAGGAACACAGTACTCCAGTTTGCTTAGGGAAATGTGCAATTTAAATCACTGCGGCATTTTAACTCCTTGATCAGTTTTAATAATATACCTTTATGTGTACCTTTTTATTGGTCCTTCCTTTTGTAGTAGGAGGTTAATTATTTCATTTAACTTTGTGCAATCTATGGTTAGCTTGGGATAAGTAAATGCAATTGCTCTAAGCTGCTCTAATGGCTCATGCTGTAATTCAGTGATGGCATTAAATTTATGACTGTTAAAAAAACTTGTTTATTCATAAAGTATACTGTTGTCTAG